GGGGACAGGAGTACATGGAAAGAAAGGACACAGAGAAGAGGTAACTATGGGGAGGAAGTGGGAGGAGAGCTGTTGCATTGTGGGAAATTGCAGTCAATGTCATGAGACAAAGTGAATGTGAACTGTATGGAAAATGAATTTGCTCTGTAAACTTCCATCCAAATCACAATAAAATTTTTTAAAAATTATCAGTTATTGTTGAGATTATACAAACCAGAACATATAGCAATGCAACAATTTCTACATGTACAATTCTTTGGTAGTGATTATATTCTTCAAGATGTACAACCATTCTCACCCGTCTTTTCAGAAATGACCTCCCCTATTCACATAAACTCTCTGTCCTGTAAGTCTCCTATCTAATGTTTCCTTTTGTCAATTTGATCCCATATACAGGCAGTCCTCTGATTCTGAAGGAGCTCTGTTCCTAAGTCTGTCTTTAAGTAGAATATGTATATAAATCAGACCACTTACGTACAGTTCATATCTAACATCAGTTATTCAAATATTTGGCTTAGTAAATTATATATAGTGCACCTCTATGCATAAAAAAACATTAAAGAAACCCTTCCTGATGCACTAAAAAAATCTTTAACATAATAATAATAATGATGTTTTGATGTACATCACAAAGTAACATCTGTTTGTTATTATGAACCACTATATGGACTATACATTTTTAATATGTGATATATTCTGCCATGAGCTGAGCTGAGTGAAGCTAGCAGTGCAGTGCCCCCTTGTGCCATCTTGGTGATGCTGTGTATGTGGAATATGTGTGTCTCTCAGCCCAAGTGTGTGACCCTTCTACCCTCCCTTCAAACTAGCATGAGTTGCTGCCACCACTAAGGGCGTGGGTGCATGCTGGGAGTCACCAGGCCTGCTCTTCCTTAACACACTCTCTAGTGGTTATGATCTAGACTGCCTACGTTTAAATGACTATCAACTCTTCCACTTTTTAGCTATGTGGTCGTAGCTGTGTGACGTTTCCTCACTGTGCCTGTTTCTTCATCTGTAAAATGAGATAATAATAGTATCTGTCTCATAGGGTTGCTCAGAGCATTAAATTTGTTAATATGTATAAAATTCTTAGAACAATACCTGGCACCTAGTAAAACAGTATGATCTTTGAAAATGTTGTTGTTGTTTGCCATCAAGTTGGACCTGACTCATAGCAACCCATCCTTGGGTTTCTGAGGCAGTATCATTACGGAAGTAGATTGCCCAGTAAGGACTAATAAGGAATAACCCATTGTTGTTTGTTTGTTGTTGTTATGTGCCGTTGAGTCAGCCCTGACTCATAGCGACCCCTCCTTGGGTTTCCAAGACAGTATTACTATGGAAGTAGATTGCCCCATCTTCCTTCCGAGGAGGTCTGGTGGGTTGAACTGACATTATGTGACAGAAACTGTGGGAACTCTTGGCTGTTTTGGCATTGGAATTGAGTAAAGAAGCTGGGGATATTTCCTGAGAAATTGTAACCACAGCTGGTGCTCATGGGAATTTGAGATCTGAATCCACACTGTGTGTAAGGCCTGAAACACTTCAAGCAGAGGACTTAAAGTTGACTGCCAGGAAACGTAAAAGCAAATGTACATCCTTTCTGTGAGATTAGAATTTCAGTTCAGGACACAACAAAGGATTTCATAGCAAGGAAAATGATCTTTCAAGAAATAAATTTATGTTCAGACAAACAAAATTCGTACATTACCAAGTTGTCAGTAAAAAAAGAATTCTAAAAGATCAAATATCGATAGGAGACAATTACCTCACATGTAAAACCAAATAGTGAGGAAAGGTATATTAAGTATGTGGGTAAATCTAAATAAAAACTGACTGAATAAAGAGTAAGAATAATGTATAATTTATGGGGGAAAAGGAGAGAATTAAAATGCTGTATAGGAAGGGATTTAAGTTGAAGTGGTAATGATTTGATGTAAGTATCTCATGATTTTTATGTTGTTTTTGGAGAATGGTCAAAATCCTAAATTTAGACTTTGTTAAGTGATGTAAACAAGATTAAAAATAAATAAATAAATAAAAAGGTAGGCTAACCATCAAAAGAATAGGAAACCCGAGGGAAAAATGGAAAAACAAAAAAGATGAAAAATAAAAGGATGATACAGAAGATATGGGACAAAGAGAAAGTACCTAAAAGAACAGAAATGCATCCAAATATATCCATAATGATAGTAACAATTAATGAATAAATTCTCCTTTTAAAATACAAGTATTTTCAGACAGGTAAAATAACCACAATGTAGAGCTACATGCTGCTTAAAAAAAGACTTGCCTAAAACACAGATATAAGTTATGTTAAGTGAACGAAGGCAGCCATCAACGGTACATACAGCATGATTCTAGGCATTAAAAGTTCAAAAATAGACAAAATTCAACAGTCACATTTAGGGATTACAAATAAATGATAAACTATATAACAGAACAAGTACTGTAATTCAGAACAATGGTTACCTCTGGAGAGAACGTCTGGGGTATGAAATATTCTGTCATAGGTCAGGGCATAAATACATAGTTGATTGATTCATTTTTTTTCCTAAAACTATACATATATTGTTTAAAGTATATTATAGTTTATAGCTTGAAACAAAAATTGAGAGGAGCCTGGGGTCTCAAGGAAGAATGGGAAAAAATAGTCTTGCGGCAAAAAATGTAGAAGCAAGAGCTCACTGCTCAAACTCTTGACATCCTGCCCTGGCAGCCAGGTCAGGAAGCAGATGGTTCTCAGTGGGAAGCACTCTCACATGAAGCCATGGGTCATGTGGACTGTTGCCACTGCACTGTGGTATCAGCTTGACCTTGCTTTCTGGAATAAACCCAGGACATCTAACCAGGCATACTGGCTGTTAGATGCCCCCAGGTGCCCTCAGGTGAAGTGAATGAAATACTTGAGAGTTGCTGTTCTGGAGCACCTATCCTTTGGTGAACGCTGTTTTAACCCCTGAAGGGTCTTTTAGAATGACAATTCCCAAGTAGTGAAGGGAGAAATTCTAGGCTGGGGCTGCTTCAGTGCAGAAGTCCAGCTCTCCTGGTCCCCTCTATGCCTCAAATAATGTAGAGTGCTTTTTCCCCTCTTTAGCAGTCTTGTGGAGTAAAGCAGTTGATATTATCACAGAATCAAATGTTATTGTCCTGACTACTTTACTGACCAACTCTTTCATATAAGCTGGATTTTTCATTTCGAGAAATCAATATTCAGTTTGCCTTTCAGCACCAGTCTTTTCAAACACTGCGTGGCCTAAAACATTGTTTCTCAAAGTTGATGTGATTGTTAAGGTTATGTGCCAACTTGTCTAAGTCATGATTCTCAGTGACTTGACAGATATTTGGTAGTCATCCCCCATTTCGTGATCTGATGTGAGCAGCCAGTCAGTTGTAAGGCAAGTTTCCTTGAGGTGTGACCTGCATCCAATATATGTGATCATTCTGGCAAAGCTTGTTCTTCTCGATTCTGCCTAAGACTCATCATCCTCTGACCTCCATTTCTTGAATCATGAGCCAGCAGCCTCCCAACTGATCTGCAGATTTGGAATTCATCAGTCCCTGAAACTACATGGTTCAGGAGAAGCCTCAAGCCTGACACATGACTCATGGATAGGGGACTTGCCAGCCTCCACAACTCCATGAGAAATCTCTCTCACTCATGAGGAATCTCTTTCACTGGTTTTGCTCTCATAGAGAACCCAGCCTATGGCACTTGAGCATGCATGATAGTGACCTGGTGGACTTGTCAAAATACATATTGCTGATCTCTGCCTCCAGTCCAGAGAATCTGTCCTTTTAACAAGTCACAGGTGATGCTGACACTGGTGGTCAGTTCGGGTCATGGCACTTTTAGAACCTCTGACCTAAAATGTCTTTTTTCCTTGGAAGATGTTTCTGTTTCTGAAGATCCCTTTTCCCCATTTTCTGACTGAACATCATGCAGAAACTCCCTTCTCTGAGTGACAGATTTACTTCTTCATCATCCTCTGTAGAGCTGCTTTCACCTCCTGGTTCTTGAGGCTGTAGATGAAGGGGTTCAGCAAAGAGGTGAGCACACTGTACTGAATGGAGACCACTTGCTCCAACAGTGAACCCGAGGGAGGGCTGATGTACCTGAATAGACCTGTCCCATAGAACAAGAGCACCACGGTGAGGTGTGAGGAACAGGTGGAGAAGGCTTTGCCTTGGCCTGCAGAGGAGTGAATGCTCAGGATGGCAGAGATGATTCTGGAGTAAGAGAAGAGGATCAGGGGAAGTGTCAGCAGCCCCATAAATACACCTGACCCAGACAGAAGCAACTCGTTGGCAGTGGGATCAGTGCAGGAGAGTGGGAGCAGTGAAGGCAGCTCACAGCTGAAGTGGGAGATGATATTGGAGCCACAAAAATGTAACTTGTGGATGAAAAGATTATTCACTAGTGAGTTCAGAAACCCTATCACCCATGCAGTGCTGACCATTGCAATGCAGAGAGGGCTGTTCATGATCACAGTGTACAGCAGAGGGTGGCAGATGGCAGCATAGCGGTCATAGGCCATGGCAGAGATCAAGCAGCTCTCAGTGCTTGCAGTAAGAATGAAAAAGAAGCTCTGGGTGATGCAGCCCCACACCGAGATGCTTTTCTTCTGAGATGAGAAGTTTTGTAGCATTTTGGGAATGGTGACTGAAGAAAAGCAGATGTCTAGGAAGGAAAGATGTCCGAGGAAGAAGTACATAGGAGTGTGGAGGTGAGGATCAGTTCTGATCACCAGGATCATCATCAGGTTCCCCATCAAGGTCAGGAGGTAAATCACCAGGAAGAGCATGAAGAGCAGAGCCTGAACATGGGGGTCGGCAGACAGCCCGAGGAGGATGAACTTGGAGAAGACAGTGAGATTGTTCATAGTGGTTTATAAACTCTATCCCTAAAAAGAAATCAGGCTGGCATGAACTTTAAAATTTCTTTGTAATGGTTGAAAACACGGTTCTGGAATGAACTCTAACAGTAGATTTGGAGACCTTGATGAAATCACGTTTATCTTACTCCACCTTTGTTTTAGCACATGACCTGATGATTATTCCTTCCTTCTACTTTATTATTGTCTTTCAAAAAAAAAAAAACCAAAAACAAACTCACTGCCATTGAATTGGATCCAACTCATGGCGACCCCTCCTTGGGTTTCTGAGGTGGTATCTCTATGGAAGTAGATTGCTCAACCTTCCTTCTAAAGAGTGGCTGGTGAGTTTGAACCGCCAGCCTTCTGGTTAGCAGTCAAATGTCTTAGGCACTACGCCTCCAGAGCTTCCATTATTGTCTTTACTACCTAAAAAAGATCTAAGCAATGACTTTCAACTGGATCCACATTTTTCACCATGTCCCAGAATTATTACAACAACCTTCCCTGCTGTCTTCTCAGAACTAGTCTTCACACCCATTGCCCCTCCTCCTCTTCAGTCTGCCTTATATTGCTGTTGTATAAAGACTGATACTGGTGCCATGAATAGAAATGCCATGCTAGAAGAAATTCCAGAGAAAAATAAATGTTTAGAAAAATGTTCAACTTAACTAGTTAAAAAACTAAACAGAACTTCATGCTTCTGAAACACTGACTTTTCTGTCTCTTAATTGTGATGGTTACCTAACATGATTAATGTAGTTAATATCACCAAGTTGTACATGCAGAAAGCATTAAGCTGGCAAAAGTTGTGTTATATATAAAAAATAAACTGAAATGGGAATATTGATCTAATTTTGTGATTATTTAATTTTCAAGAAGTTTATAATAATATCCTAAGAAGATTCTGATCAGAGTGACATCTACACATTGCCAATGACATTTTAACCCACTACTTTGACTCAGCAATCCTCTAAGACCTTGGATTTATACTATGATTGTAACTGAAAGGAACTGACACATAACATGCAGAATGATATAAACATCAGTGTTATATGTTCAATAAAAAAAATTAGAAACTCGAATGTCTCCATATCCTGGAATGCATAACTGAACACCAACTGAATAGAATAATACGAAGTCAGTAAAGTGATAATAAGACTATGCAGCAAGATGGAAACATACCGCTATTGACTGCAAAAGCAAAATATTGAATTTCTGTTCGGTATGACTAGAACTGGTCTTCAAGACCTTTTCCTATGATCTCCCTCAAATTTCTAATTTCCTTTATCTTCAAGGTACTCCTGTGAACTCATTGGCTTTAACTGCATTCACTTTCAAAATAGACTTACAGACTTCCTGTCACTTCTTCTTTTATGATACACTCAATGTTTTTGCTCCTAAGAAAATTAGCTTAGTTTTAAGAGCATCCATGTCTTAAATAAGAAGATATCAGAGTTCCACCTATGATAAGGTTTCCCAGATTTGAGTCTCCTTCCTGGCTATCTGGTGTTACTCTCCCCTGGGAGGTTGGAAAACTGTGCGAGAGAGGAGAATTAACAGACCAATGCTGTTAGGAGGAATTCCTGGATGAGGAACAACAGAGAAATGGTTCTGAGGAGAGAGACTAGTTTTGATGGAAAGAAACTGACTAAAAGAGGGGGTGGAAAGAGAGGGCAAAGATGTGCTAGTCCCTTCCAGTGCTAAGCACATGAAGATTTCCCAGTAGCCTTTGTGAATAACTGTAGACATTGGCATTGACTTTTCAGATTAATACCAAAAAATTTCCTTTCCAGTTCCCAGTCCTGATAATCACAGCAAAGGGATTACTGGGGACCTCTCCACCTCTGACAGTTTCAAGATGCTACATGGCCAGTCTAGCCTCTTTGCAGTTTTATTTCTTGGCAGGGATAAAACTACATAATTTCTTGACATCCCTGAAGTCATAAGATCCTAGAATTCTCTTAGTGAAAGTCAGGCAAAAGAGAATGAGAAGGACCCCTTCGATTTTCTATCACAGTGCCCATTCTAGACTGGATGATATCCCTGTAGCTCCTCCATGCCTAGAGAGGACTGCTTTTTTTTTTTTTTTAATATCAAAGGCCAAAGACATGAAAGGAGGCACAGAGAGATCCCATACAGATGGTTGTGCACACACTAAATATCGCATGCAGTTCTATCCACAGAAAACAACAATGATAAAACTTGGTCTACTTGTGTACTTTGGACAAGAGGTTTCCCTTATGTTTGATTTCAGTTTCCTACTCAGTACCATAGATAACTTGGGTAATAATAAGATTCCTCTAAGTTTTTCAAACCAATGGATATCAAACCTCTTCTCACTCCTATTGCTGAGCTGGACTGTTTTGAATTTGGCTCTTCCTTGGAGTTCTGAGTCAATTTACTTACAGCCTCCACAGTTGGCAAATGAAATCAGAGTGTGCCAGCTAGGCCTTAGGCAATATCTATTTTATGTCTTGACAGTTTCTAGGATCAGACTCTGTGTAAGAAGTTCTGCAGAAAAGGTAAAAGGCTGGCATTCTTTGCCTTGGGTCTCTCCTGACCTGGTTAGAAAGCATTAGCTCCTGCCATTCTTCCCGTGGTGACCGACTTCACTTCCATGAAAAGTTCCTAATCAGTTTTTAGGAGTCTTATGTTTAAGAATCCTTTTCTCTTTGGCCATCTCTTTGCCAAGGAAGCCCTAGGAGAAGAGTGCAGGAGAGAACTCCAAGGAGGTGGGACTGTTTACTGCTCATTGGGGAGGCTGCAGAAGTTAGAGTCACTTGGGACTTGGTGCTGACTTTGAAGGGCTCTCTGATGTGCACGGAGGGAGGGAGAGAGGAAGGGATGCAGAACATTTTCTACGTGTAATACAAGAAAAAACGTAGAATCTGACAAGTAAAGCTCACTCTAGGGCTTCTTGACCTCAGCCATCTATATCCATGCACAGATACATGTACATGCCAACATGTGTGCACATGCACACATATACACACACTCATATGAAGTCTGACATTCCTTCTCATAGATTTATCAAATTGTATTATCTTTATTTGTAATACATTTTCCCTTCATACTCCCTTTCACATGATCTTGTAAGAGAAATTAGAATTAAGAGGCAGGAACTTTCATTTTCTTCATTTCTCACCTATCAATATATCCATTCCTCCTGTCCTCTCCTTGGTTTTAGTTGTAGAGACTACCACTCATCTGTCAGTTTGTCATATTGTGATGGCTTGTGTGTTGCAGTAAGGCTAGAAGTTATGTCACTGGTATTTCAAATACCAGCAGGGTCATCCATGGTAGACAGGGTCAGCAGAGCTTCCAGACTAATACAGAGTGGGAAGAAGGATGGGGCCTTCCACTTCTGAAAAAATTCGCCACTGAAAACCTTATGCATAGCAGTGAGACACTGTCTGATATATTACTTTATGAATAGCAGTAAAACATTGTCTAGTAGAAGGTCAGTGAAAAAGGGGAAGATCCCCAATAAGATGAATGGACACAGTGGCTACCATGATGGACTCAAGCATAGCTAAGATTGAGAGGATAGCACAGGGCCAGGCAATATTTTGTTCTGTTGTACATAGGTCACTATGCATTAGCGCCTACTCAGTGGCACCTAACAACAACAGTGGTAGAGATGTCTCTCCTTCACCCACGACTAAGGCTTATTATACTTGTACTTTAACTCCCATCCCATCCTGAACCTCTGGGTTATATTTCAATCTTTTTCAATCATGCATATTTTGTCCCCCAGGAATTTCTTCCCTTATATTACTCATTCACATCAAGAATATAAACATACTAAAATCTCTCCCATATTTCAAAGTATCCAGTGGAGTTATGTTCAAATGAAGCTACCAGTTTTGCATTGCATTTCTCCCTCTTACATTTCACAGCCACTTGTACTGGAAGTCTGCTTTACAGCCACTTGTACTGGAAGTCTACTTTAACTGTATAACCTGCAAGGCCTTTCCTACTCATGCCACAACACTCTGAATTCTGCATCCACCAAGTGCTTCTCTCTCCTGACTTCTGCAACCAGTATGAATTTGTCTCATGATGCTGGAATGCAAGAAATATCACTTTTTCAGTCCTCATCTCCTAGGTTCAACTGGATATCTATTCTCTGGACTGCTTAACTAGTTAAGAAAAATTGAAACAGTGGTCTTCTTTACCCTTCTTGAGCCATAATGAAGAGAAACTTTGTCTAGGTCTTCCTTCTTTCATAAGGGTGCAATTTTCCTCTAATAGGAAAAGATCATGAGAGGTAGTGGTTTCCATTAGTGATGGACTTGGACTTTGCTTCTCTATAGGTTGTAGGATATCCACTTGCTATTAAGTATTGAAATTGATACCCACTTGAAGTATTGCTGGACTAAAAAATATGAGTAAATGAAGGTGAGTGAGTAGAATTGTAGATTGGAGCAGGTTTTAAAAGGATTTTATATGCAAGAGTTTTATAAGCTATGGATTATGGATCAAATGGGAGCTCTGGTAGCTTAGTGCCTAAAGTACTTGACTGCTAACCAGAAGACTGGTGGTGATCAAATATAACTTGCCACCTGGTTTGTAAATAAAGTTTATTGAAACATAAACATGCTCATTTACTTACTTATGGTCTATGGCTGCTTTAACACTACAATGGCAAAGTTTATTAATTGCAACAAAGCCAGTACCTATGCCCACAAGACCTAAAATATTTACTGTCTATTTTTTTTAGTGAAAAAATATTGCCAGCTCCTGTTACATGCAATTCCAAGTAGCTCAAAGTTTATCCTGAGTCATAGCACAAGTATTGGATAGAGGGGAGGATATTGTGAATGGGATTAGAGAAACACTAAAATGGTTATTTTAGAGTCTAAATGATAGATAGTATTACTTTGAACAAGGGCAGGATGATTCCACCATAAGTATTCACTAGATAATCCTACCCTTTCTTTGTTATTGTTTGCTAGAGTTAATTACATTAAAAGACACTGAAAATTGCTATTTTAATGACCAGT